AGAGACAGACAGAGTTTACATTCAATAATGTAAACTTAGCAGAGTGGTTAAAAGTGACCTTAATAGTTGATGGAAAGTGATGAACACTTTCCTCTGGTCACACACAAATAGCAAGTGCATTGTGGTCATCTTGACTATGTTTGTATATGGAAGGAAAAATTGAGAAGATAGCAAAGGGATCCACTTCTGAGTTTATCACCACTGACTGTCAGAAACCTTTTTATTCCATTAGCCTTTGCTTTTATTTATTTTTCAGCACTGATGGTTTAACTCGAGGTCTTGTGCATGCTAGGCGAGTGCTCTGCTACTAACCTGCATCCCCAGCCTTCTTTCTACTTTTTATTTTGCGACAGGCTCTCACTAAGTTTCCCAGGTTGGCCTTTTTCTTACGCACTCTGTAGCCAAAGCTTGCCTTTAATTTGCAATCCTCCTGCCTTGGCCTTTCAAATAGCTAGAGTTCCAGTTCCGTGTGAGCAGTTTGATGAAATTGCTTTTTCAACTTTGATGTTTAAAATAGAGTTGACCCAGCACTTTCAGAAAGTATGCATCTATAGATGCAACCAACGGTCTACTAAAAATATATAGAAAAATAAATTGCACTTGTACTGAGCATGGCATGCAGACTTTTTATTTACTATCTTTATCCAATCATATTACAATGAGGATTTGTGTAACCATGAGGATAAAGTGAGAACTAATCTATCCAGACATGGAGGGATGATTCCATGTTCAAATAAAGGACAACCTTGTTAGCAAAAACTAATGATGGGCCATAAATTCACCACACAGATGCACATGCACAAACACACACACACACACAAATACACACACGTGTATGTGCACATACATGCACAACATGCACTCACAAAGAAATAAAACAACAGCAAAACAATACCAGAGAACTTTATTGGAAATATTTTCCAACTTTTCTCTCATTTCTATCTTTAAAACTCTTTAATTCAACTCATTTATTTAATGTTTCAAAAAATTGCATTAATCCACATGAGCAAGGGCCCGTATGACTTCAGGCCTCATTCTTTTGTTTTCCAGTACTGGAGATTGAAAGTAGGGCATTGTACATGCTGAGCAAGCTCTGCCACTGAGCTGAATCCCTGTGCTTCCTTTTACTAAGAATGTTTTTTTTTTTTTTTTTTTTAATTTTGGGAGAAAAGTAACTAATACCTGCATGCATACACATTTTCACACACATATACATAAATAAATGAATAAATAACTTCTAAAAAATTTAGACAAGTAAAAATTAAAAAAAAAACAGGCTTTGGAGAGATGGCTCAGCAGTTAAGAACACATGGTGTT